TGTTGCTGCACCACCGTCAGCTGTTGCTGTACCACCATCAGCTGCTGCTGTACCACCATCAGCTGCTGCTGTTGCTGCACCACCACCATCAGCTGCTGCTGCACCACCAGCTGTTGTTGCACCATGGTCAGCTGCTGCTGCACCACAGTCAGCTGCTGCTGTACCATGGTCAGCTGCTGCTGCTGCTACACCACCATCAGCTCTACTACTCGAAGATGTGGAGAGTGTTGTTGGTGTGGCTTAACGAGAAACAATTACCGAGAAGCAATTAGCCCCAGAGGGTTAGCCACCCAGGATAACCCAAGAAAGTCAGTGTGTCATCGAGGGCTGTCTAACTTTTTTTCATTGGGGTCCTTAATCTTGTCCCCCAGGATGCGACTCACACCAGTCGACTTACACCCAGGTGAACAGGAAAAAATGCCTGGAACTAGTGCTCATATTGGTGAATTTAAGGCCAGCAAAGGTTAGTTTGAGAGATTTAAGAATCGTAGTGGTATACACAGTGTGATAAGGCATGGCGAAGCTGAAAAATTCCAACCCTAACAAATTTTCAGTTGTGATGAAACAGGCCTGTTCTGGAAGAAAATGCCAAACAGGACCTACGTTACTCAGGAGGAAAAAGCACTCCCAGGACATAAGCCTATGAAAGACAGGCTAATTCTCATGTTTTGTTGTAATACTAGTGGGGATTGCAAAGTGAAGCCTTTACTCATGTATCACTCTTAAAATCCCAGAGTGTTCAAGAAAAACAGTGTCTCATCACTCATCAGTACTCTTCAATAAAGGTAAGTGTCATATTAGCATTTATTTATGTAGTTATTGTGCATGTCTCATTGTTTTCTTTGTAGGGAAATGTATATTTCATGAAAAAAATGATTTTTTTAATACTTTTGGCTGTCTGGAACTGATTAATTGGATTTCCGTTATTTCTCACGGGGAAAATTAATTCAGCTAACAATAAATTCAGCTAAGGACAGGCTCTCTGGAATGGATTAATATCGTTGGTTGAGGGTCCACTGTACGCTGCCTCCTCCTCCTCCCTCCTCCCTCCCTCCTCCCTCCCTCCTCCCTCCCTCCTCCCTCCCTCCTCCCTCTCCTCCTTTCCTCCCTCCCTCCTCCCTCCCTCCTCCCTCCCTCCTCCCTCCCTCCCTCCTCCCTCCCTCCCTCCCTCCCTCCCTCCTCCCTCCCTCCCTCCTCCCTCCCTCCCTCCCTCCCTCCTCCTCCCTCCTCCCTCCCTCCCTCCTCCCTCCCTCCTCCTCCCTCCCTCCCTCTCCCTCCCTCCTCCCTCCCTCCTCCCTCCTCCCTCCCATCCTCCTCCCTCCCTCCTCCCTCCCTCCTCCCTCCCTCCTCCCTCCCTCCTCCCTCCCTCCTCCCTCCCTCCTCCCTCCCCTCCTCCCTCCTTCCCCCCTCCCTCCTCCCTCCCTCCTCCCTCCCTCCCTCCCTCCCTCCCTCTCCCTCCCTCCTCCCTCCCTCCTCCCTCCCCCTCCCTCCCTCCCCTCCCTCCCTCCCTCCCACCTCCCTCCCCCTCCTCCCTCCTCCCTCCTCCTCCCTCCCTCCCTCCCTCCCTCCCTCCCTCCCCCTCCCTCCCCCTCCCCTCCCCCCTCCTCCCTCCTCCCCCCTCCCTCCCTCCCTCCTCCTCCCTCCTCCTCCCCCCTCCTCCCTCCTCCCTCCCTCCTCCCTCCCTCCTCCTCCCTCCTCCCTCCCTCCCTCCTCCCTCCCTCCTCCTCCCTCCCTCCCTCCCTCCCTCCCTCCTCCCTCCTCTCCTCCCTCCTCCTCCCTCCCCTCCTCCCTCCTCCTCCCTCCCTCCTCTCCCTCCTCTCCTCCTCCCTCCCTCCTCCCTCTCCCTCCTCCTCTCCCTCCTCCCTCCTCCTCCTCCCTCCTCCCTCCTCCTCCTCCTCCTCCCTCCCTCTCCTCCCTCCTCCTCCTCCTCCTCCTCCACCCCCTCTCCCTCACCCTCCTCCTCTTCCTCCTCCTCTCTCCTCCCCTCCTCCACTCCCTCCTCCTCATCCTCCTCTTCCTCCTCTTCCCCCCCGTGCCTCCTCCCTCCTCCTCCCTCCTACCTCCATCCTCCCCCTTCCTCCTCCTCCTCCTCCCTCCTGCCCCTTTCCCCTCTCTCCTCCCCCTCTCGTCCTCCCTCCTCTACTCCGTCTACATTTTTTTTACTTCCACATATCCCCAAACTGCTCAGCTATTTTTTCAACCGTCGCCTTCCTACTAAGTAGCAGTGCCAAAATGAACTATCTCAATTTCAACAGCTACTCATAATTTTTTTTTATTCAACAACGTTGGCATATATGAAAAGATAACCTATAAATACTTTGTCATATTCCAACCTTTAATCAGTACATAATCCGTAATTGGCAGGTGTAAAATCCATATCTGTATTTTGTGGTGAAATTTGGGGGGGTAAATTTTCAGTATTTTAATTTAGGTCAAACAAAATTGGGGTTAGAAACAAGAGGTTATAAATTGGGGTTTTTGTTATCAGACCATAAAAATTATATAAAATAATATGAAAAGTAGATAAAAAGGTATATTGGCAACACTTCTGCAAGCAGCAGGACTCGATGTTGTTGTCACGTGAGTATCCAGTGCCAACTTCTTGGCCTCGTATCTCTGTAAGTACTGACCCTAATTTTTTTTTTATCCCATAACACTTAGGAAAATTATTTTTTTATTTTTCAAAATATTCTGGGCACTGGGGTAGTGAACTTGTATATACTTTTGGACTGTTTATGGATTAACGACCAATTCGCTTACTGACCTACTCTTAGGAGTGCAACTTGGGCGTTAAGTGAGGAGAGGCTGTACAGTGGAACCCCGAGTTTCAGACATAATTTGTTCCAGAAGGCTGTTCGAGTGCTGTTACCAAACGAATTTGTTTCCATAAGGAATAATGTAAATTAGATTAGTCCATTTCAGACCCCCAAAAATACACTTACAAAAGCACTTACAATAATACACTTACATAATTGTTCGAGTTGGGAGGTGACCGAAACTCGGGGTACCACTGTATTTAAAAAAATTTAATAATTAAAGCAAATTAAGGAAATAATAATTAACATTATTATTATCTGTTATCTGTTACATGTATTTGTTTTTTAACACGTCATCCATCTCCCACCGAGGCAGGGTGTCCCTAAAAAAGAAACGCTTTCACCATCATTCACACACTTATCACTGTCTTTGCAGAGGTGTCCAGATATGACAGTTTAGACGTCTTTTCAATCAGCCAATATCACAAACCTCTCTTTTATTATTATTTTTTTTTTTAACACATCGGCCATATCCCACTGAGGCAGAGTGAACTAAAAAGAAAAATGAAAGTTTCTCTTCTTAAATTTAGTAATGTTTACAGGAGAAATGGTTACTAGCACTTTCCTTCGTGAATTTTAGTTGTCTCTTATGACATGCATGGCTTAGGGAGGAAGAATTCTTTTCCACTTCCCCATGACGACTTATTCTTCATTCAACGCACCAGCCGTATCCCACCGAGGCAGGATGGCCCCAAAAGGAAAACGAAAGTTTCTCTTTTTAAATTTAGTAATATATATACAGGAGAAGGGGTTACTAACCCCTTACTCCTGGCATTTTAGTCACCTCTTATGACACACATGGCTTATGGAGGAAGAATTCTGTTCCACTTCCCCATGGAGAAATTATTATTGTTATTATTATTATTATTATTATTATTATTATTATTATTATTATTATTATTATTATTATTATTATTATATCATCACTAAGGCTGGGTGATCCTAGAGGAAACACATTTATATCAGTAATAATAATTATAATAATAATTTAACCTTATTTGTAGAGAAATACTTGCATTTAGTTTGAAACTTAAAATAAATTTTCATTAACCCTTTCACTGTTGAAGCCCCTGATCACATACTTGCTCTCGGTGTCGAAAAATATTAAAAAAAAAAAAAAAAAATTTCTTGCCAAAATCATAAGAATATGTTTCTGATTGTTTTAAAAGAACAGAAAAATTGCTATCAGTACTTACTGAGATATAGAGGCATGAAGTTGACAGAAAGTGAACCGCTTATGGCAACATAGGCGACTGCTGCTCGCTCGGTAATATTTTCACTTTTATTCTATTTTTTCTTTTCTTTACTAATATTTATTATTTCAAGTAACTTTTGTGGTCTGTGAGACCAATATAATGCATGATGTATACATAAGTATATCCACTCATTGTATGCAACATTATAACTGCACAAGTATTGTTTTTATATTGTTTGCAAAACTTTTTACACACATCCATGCTGCCTTCCCCACCACCCATGCTGCCTTCCCCATGACCCACACTGTCTTCCCCATCAATCATGTTGTCTTCACCACCACCCACATGGAAATACATCACTTAGACTTTTTTTTTTTTTTGGTTATCCTAGGTTATGCTGCTTTGTATGATAATCTATGTAACTGTATTTGTTTATACCGAATAAATTTACTTATTCTTTGAGACATGGGAAAATATGAGTTTCCTCTTTTGCTGTGGTACAAGTGGACATAAATGAGATGGCCCAGCACCAAAGGTGGAAGGTTGATGGTTGTCTGGGTTTTCAGCACTGTTTCTGGTATCCTGGGCATTGCTTTTGGTCACAAACTCCTCAAACCATGAGATTCATCTTCTCTGACACTTTAATCTGTGTTAGAACTATCACCTGGGAAGGAAAGAGTCCCGATTCACTGGAGAGTGATTATTCTTTACTGCTTGGCATGAGGCGTACTGAATTAGCACTCCCACATTGCACTGTTTTTTTTTGTATTGTGCACACTTACCATGCAGACCCATTCTCTCACATGTGGGTCTACCATCTTTCTCCCGCTAGATTTGAAGCCACTAGAATTTTGGCATAGTATTACGGGACCGATACTGGCTTCCAAGCTGCAATATTGCAGGACCGACAGTGAAAGGGTTAAGTAATATTATATTCTCTTAGATTATTTATATGGTACATTTCTCAATACCTTTTCTCTCCTTCCAGGAACAGGAAAAACACTAATGGCAAGAGCACTTGCTAATGAATGCAGTGTTGGTGGAAGAAAAGTTGCCTTTTTCATGCGTAAAGGTGCTGATTGTCTTAGCAAGTGGGTGGGAGAATCAGAGAGACAGCTGAGACTTTTGTTTGACCAGGTGATGATTCATTATTATTATATTTTGTGTGTTAGTGTAATTTTTTCTATGTATATTTCAGTGTTAACCCACAAGGTGGAAACTGATAACATTTCAGTCTGTTCCTGGGCATTTTATCAAGTCCAGAAAAGACATTAGTATCACCTAACATTTTCTCTCCAAATTGTGGGTTAAAGTGAATTGCTTCAGTTCTGGTATTGAGATTTATTCCTGTATTTACATATTTTTAGTTCAACAAATACAGCTATGCTCATGGAATCCCTTTGTAATCAATGTTATATGTTTTTTTTTTTTTTTTTTTTTTTTCAACAAGTCGGCCGTCTCCCACCGAGGCAGGGTGACCCAAAAAAGAAAGAAAATCCCCAAAAAGAAAATACTTTCATCATCATTCAACACTTTCACCACACTCGCACATTATCACTGTTTTTGCAGAGGTGCTCAGAATACAACAGTCTAGAAGCATACACATATAAAGACACACAACATATCCCTCCAAACTGCCAATATCCCAAACCCCTCCTTTAAAGTGCAGGCATTGTACTTCCCATTTCCAGGACTCAAGTCCGACTATATGAAAATAACCGGTTTCCCTGAATCCCTTCACTAAATATTACCCTGCTCACACTCCAACAGATCGTCAGGTCCCAAGTACCATTCGTCTCCATTCACTCCTATCTAACACGCTCACGCACGCTTGCTGGAAATCCAAGCCCCTTACCCACAAAACCTCCTTTACCCCTCTCTCCAACCCTTTCGAGGACGACCCCTACCCCGCCTTCCTTCCCCTATAGATTTATATGCTTTCCATGTCATTCTACTGTGATCCATTCTCTCTAAATGACCAAACCACCTCAACAACCCCTCTTCTGCCCTCTGACTAATACTTTTATTAACTCCACACCTTCTCCTAATTTCCACACTCCGAATTTTTTGCATAATATTTACACCACACATTGCCCTTAGACAGGACATCTCCGCTGCCTCCAACCGTCTCCTTGCTGCTGCATTTACCACCCAAGCTTCACACCCATATAAGAGTGTTGGTACTACTATACTTTCATACATTCCCTTCTTTGCCTCCATAGATAACGTTTTTTGACTCCACATATACCTCAACGCACCACTCACCTTTTTTCCCTCATCAATTCTATGATTAACCTCATCCTTCATAAATCCATCCGCCGACACGTCAACTCCCAAGTATCTGAAAAACATTCACTTCTTCCATACTCCTCCTCCCCAATTTGATATCCAATTTTTCTTTATCTAAATCATTTGACACCCTCATCACCTTACTCTTTTCTATGTATAAACATTTAAAGGATCTAGTACAGTATTTGTATCATGCATTAGTGCACTTCTTTGAGCCCTTTTCAGATATTTACCACTGAAAACCTTGCCAGCCCATTCTGGATTTGTTTTTGATGTGGCTGCTGCTTATTGCACATGAAAAGATGACATGGTATCAGTTTGTTGTTAATTCATGTATGTTACCTCTGGAATGCATTTTCTTCCATGTCTTTTTGACTTTCAATTTTGATTTAAGATGTGATCACTATACTACATGTGCATATTTCTATTTGGGTATGCATTACACTGTATGTATATTGACTTTTTATGCACGTATTTCATTATCCATGTGCTTATTAGTTCTTTGAAGTTTGCCAAAATATTTTGTTATTCTTTTAATGTGTCAGTCTGTTTTCTTTATTCAGTCCTATTTTCTTTTCACTTATTTCCATTACATGTCATTTTAGTGTATTATCTACCTTTCATGTTTTTTCTTTTAACGTGTCGGCCATTTCTCACCGAGGCAGGGTGACCCAAAAAGAAAGAATCTTTAATCATCATTCAAACTTTCACCTTCAGTGGTAAAACAGGTGGGACATGCACCTCTGACCATCCCAAAAAATGCCACACCCACATGACAACAGAAAGATGCAACTCCCCTTCCCTGTAACTTATTTCACCCCGAAATGTGTCACTCATCACTCCATGAAAGAAAAATGCTACAGCGTATACTACCAGGCACATCATCTAAAGGGGACAAGAAGACACAGATCAGCCAGACTATGGGAAACAAAAGAGAGGAGCCATAACCTCTCCAGAGAAAGAGGTTTTTTAGTGCCAGGAAAGAAAAAAGACTGGCAAGAAATGACAGTAATCTTACACCAACTGAAAACACTTCTGGAGCAGAGGCACAGTCCATTGGTCTTCACTCCAGAACAACAGATATTAGAGCCACCAAATAAACCCCCCCTAAATTCCATCAATATAATGACGTTTGTCTTTGCAAATATACAGAGTCTAAAGCTGTCAACAAACAAAATTCATTACATCAAGGGACTGCTCGCAGAGTCAAATGCAATGTTTGCAGCTTTTACAGAGACCCATATAAAGGATCATTTTGACAATGAAATATGAATTCCAGGTTATAACCTATTCAGATGCGACAGACTAAACAGGCGACAAAGGGGGGTTGACCTGTATGTCAGAGTCACTCATTTGCTCAGAAGTACCAAACACCTCAAATGATGTAGTTGAAGTTTTGGCGGTAAAGATTGAAAACCAATACCTTATCATTGTGGTTGTATACAAGCCTCCAGATGCAACTTCCCAGCAATTCCGGGAGCAGCTTTTGAAAATTGACCACTGCCCCAAACATCTTGCTACTAGGAGATTTCAACTTGAGACATCTAAAATAGAGGAGTGTAGCAAATAATAATTTAGCAGAGATCACCCCAGGAGGCAGCTCAGATGGAAATTCACACACACGAGCTATTAAATCTCTGCACCAAATTCACCCTAAGCCAGCAAATATTAGAACCTACAAGACTAGAGCATAAGCTTGATTTCACCTTCACTAACAGCAACGATCTAATATGTAATATAACCATATCAAAGACAATACACTCGGATCACAACATAATAGAGGTACAGACATGTATGCACAGGGCTCCTGACCAGCAAAATGTGATCAGTCATGAGGGTGTCTTCACAGAATTCAATTTTAGTAACAAAAACATACAATGGGAACAAGTCATTCATGTCCTAAATGAAACAAGCTGGGAAGATATCCTAAACAACACGGACCCGAACCTTTGCCTAGAAAAAAAAACTGAGGTTCTTGAGATCTGCTTGAGGCACGTTCCATTAAGAAAAAGAAAGAGATGTTGTAAACTAGAAAGAGAGAGAGACGCCCCCTATACAGATGAAGGCGAAGGGTCAAGGAGCTGCTGAGAGGGCCCAATATATTTGAAATACAAAAGGAGACACTAGTCAGTGAAAATAAATGGTATAAAATACCGACACAATGGAAACATAAACACATATGCAGTTTAATGTGATCCTTTATTGACAATGTTTCGCCCACACAGTGGGCTTTTTCAAGTCACAAACAGATCTACCTGGGGTGGAAGGTACGTGAGTATTTATAGTCAGGTTCAGAATGTTGAGGTCAGGTGGAGAATGCTGCATCTGATGATCTACCGGGTGGGGTTATAGAGTCTAAAATCTTGGGTAGCTTGGCAGGGGTATTGGATAAGTTGTGAGCAGACCTTCTGCAGTGTTCTATGTTCTTATGTGGGATAGCGATGATGAAGTTTCTTGGCAAGTGGTTCAGCTATGTTATAGAAGCCATTGTTCTGGTTGAAATTGTTGGTTATAGAGATAAGCGATGATTCCAGGATTCTTCGGTATTGAGTGTTGTCTTCTGTGGCGATAAGTCTTGAGTTTCTGTAGTTAATTAAATGGTTGTGTGAATTGCGATGTTGTACACAGGCATTCCTTGTATCGTCAATCCTGCTTGTGTATTCCACTAGTCAGTGAAATTGCAAATATCGAACTTAAGTTGAAGGAATCTTATAGGAGACAAGACTCGCTTAGGCGAGATGGGACTTGCACAGATGACAGCCAAGAAATGAATGAGATGCTATAAAGTCCCAATACAACTCGGTGCTCAGTGAGCCGCTGCCCAGACTAAGGGTCAACAATCTAAATGAATTCTTTATGAACGAGACCCAAAATTTGATCGTTTCAAAAATCTTGGATATTATCCTAACACCACAAGACTTTCAAAAGGCAATAAATGACATGCCCATGCACTCTGCCCCAGGCTTGGACTCATGGAACTCTCTGTTCATCAAGAACTGCAAGAACCCCCTGTTGTGTGCCTTCAGCATTCTGTGGAGAGGGAGCATGGACATGGGTCATCCCACACCCACTTAAAAAACAGACATAGCCCCACTATACAAAGGTAGCAGTAAAGCAATTGCAAAGAACTGCAGACCGATAACACTAACATCCCATACCAAAAATCTTTGAAAGGGTTCTAAGAAGCAAGATCGCCAGCCACCTAGGTACCCATCGGTTACACAACCAGGGTAACATGGGTTTAGAGCAGGTCGCTCCTGCTTGTCCCAGCTACTGGACCACTATGACAGGGTCCTGGATATTGTAGAGGATAAACAAAATACAGATGTAGTATACACAGACTTTGCAAAAGCTTTCAACAAGTGTGACCATGGTGTAATAGCACACAAAATGCATGATAAAGGAATAACAGGAAAAGTTGGTAGATGGATCTATAACTTCCTGACAAATAGAACACAGAGTAATAGTAAACAGAGTAAAGTCTGAGGCAGCTACGGTGAAAAGCTCTGTTCCACCAGGCACAGTACTTGCTCCCATTCTATTCCTCATCCTCATATCAGGCATAGAGATGTAAGCCATAGCTCCATGTCTTCCTTTTTGGATGACCCTCGGATTGCCATGACAGTGACCTCTATCGAAGACACCCCAAGACTCCAAGCGGACATCATCCAAATCTTCAAATGGGCCACACAAAACAATATGAAATTCAATGAAGAGAACTTTCAACTACTCAGATATGGAAAACTTGAGGAAATTAAAACTGTTCAGGGTATACGACAAATTCTAACCATACAATAGAGCGAAAAAGTAATGTGAAGGATCTTGGAGTGATAATGTCAGAGGATATCGCCTTCAAAAACCACAACAGTATATCTACTGCATCTGCTAGGAAAATGATAGGATGGATAATGAGAACCTTCAAAACTAGGGACGCCAAGCCCATGATGGTTCTCTTCAAATCACTTGTTCTCTCTAGGCTGGAATACTGCTGGAGAGTGTACAAAGAACTTTCACAGCACACATCTATATGATAAAGCACCTAAATTACTGGGAACGGTTGAAGGCCCTTGATTTGTGTTCTCTGGAATGCAGGCGAGAAAGATACATGATAATATACACTTGGAAAATCCTATAGGGGTTACTTCCAAACTTGCACATGAAAATCACTCCCTATGAAAGTAAGGAGGAGATGCAACATTCCCCCAATGAAAAGCAGGGGCACCACGAGTACACTGAGAGACAACACAATAAGTGTCCAGGGCCCATGACTGTTCAGCTGCCTCCCAGCATACATGAGGGGGATTACCAATAGACCTGTGGCTGTCTTCAAGAAAGAACTGGACAGGCACCCTGATCCACCACGAGGCCTGGTCTCAAACGGAGCCACAGGGGTGTTTACCCTCGAAACCCCCTCCAGGTTTACTCCAGGTATCACTCATACATCATCACTGTCTTTGCAGAGGTTCTCAGATAGGACAGTTTAGATGCCCCTCCAAACTGCCAGTATCCTAAACCCCTCCTTTAAAGTGCAGGCATTGTATGTCCCATTTCCAGGACTCGAGTCCAGCTAACCAGTTTCCATGAATCCCTTCACAAAATATTACCCTGCCCACACTTCAACAGCTCGTCAGGTCATCAAAATCATTCGTCTCCATTCACTCCTGTCTAACATGCCCCCACACTTGTGGGAAGTCCAAGCCCTTCTCCCACAAAACCACCTTTACCCCTCTCCCTCCAACCTTTACAAGGATGACCCCTACCCCGACTTCCTTCCCTTACAGATTTATACACTCTGCGAGTCATTCTGCTTTGTTCCATTCTCTCAAAATGACCAAACCACCTCAACAACCCCCTCTTCAGCCCTCTGACTAATACTTTTAGTAACTCAACACTTCTTCCTATTTTCCACACTATGAATTCTCTGCATAATATTTACACCACACATTACCCTTCGACATGACATCTCAACTCCCTCCAGCCTTCTCCTTCCTGCAGCATTAATAACCTTCACACCCATATAAAAGTGTTGGTACCACTATACTCTCGTACATTCCCTTCTTTGCCTCCATGGATAACGTTTTTTGTCACTATGGATACCTCAATGCACCACTCACCTTTTTTGCTATGTTCACTTTGAATTTTCTACCTTTACAGACCCTCCTAAACTCATCCACAAACCTTTATTAATTAAATTATATAATATGATTAGCATATGATATATTTCATATGGAGATCAATGTATGATTGGGGAAAGGAAGTCAAGCAAGGCAAAGGAAGTAGAAATATTATTCCAAACATGTCACCTGAAGCACTTGCACTTCTTTCAACAAACTGGCTGTATCCCACTGAGGCAGTGTGGCCAGAAAGGAAATACAAAAGTTTCTCCTTTAAATTTAGTAATATATACAGGAGAAGGGGTTACTAGCCCCTTCCGGCATTTTAGTTGCCTCTTACGACACACATGGCTTATGGAGGAAAAATTCTGTTCCACTTCCCCATGGAGATCTTAAAGCATTTGCAAGCAAAATATCAGCAGAACACTGCAGTTACTAATGATACTCTGGAACCTAAACAGACTCATTCACTTTATGCATTTCATTTTGTATTGTACAGTCTGCATTGTTAAGCTATAATTGTATTATCTGTCTTTTTTCTCACATATTCTTTTCTTAATGTGCTGTTTTCTCTAGAATATTTTTTCTTTATATTTTGCCTTTCAACAAACTTTTTCTAAAAATTTAGAGTAGCTACTTTTTCCTCTTGTATTTGACAATTCCCTTTTCAAAGCTCCTTTCTTCTGCACTAAGTGCCACCTCTCCAGTATTTTCTGTAAAAATCTTGAGGAAGCAGTAGCCACAAACCTATTGGTAGGTGTCATGGTCATTTCCTCTATTAGTGTATAAATGTGTATGAGAATATGGGAGACAAATTTTGCTGTATTTTTTTATTATTACTCATACCATCGTATACAGTAGTAAAATATAGAACCACTGTTTCAGGCTTATCAGATGCGCCCTTCTATAATCTTTTTCGATGAAATTGATGGACTTGCTCCGGTACGCTCTACTAGACAAGATCAAATCCATTCCAGTATTGTATCTACACTTTTAGCTCTCATGGATGGATTAGACTCCCGTGGAGAAGTTGTTGTAATAGGGGCTACGAATAGAATTGATGCCATCGACCCAGCCCTACGGAGGCCTGGGCGATTTGATCGAGAATTCAATTTCCCTCTTCCATCCCTGAAGGTTTGTAGTGCAAGATAAAGGTATCAAGCAAAAGATTGTTTATTGTATAAAATGTTTTAGAATATATATATTATTGTTTTTTTGTGATAAAATATACAGGTTCATTAATTTTACTCTTAGCTTAAGTTTGCCTGGAATTCTCTGCATAATTAAGAGCACTTCCATGCAGTGAAAAAACAACTTGTTAAGCCATTTTTGTAACACTTGTGCATCTTCTTGGAAAATAAAAAATTATTATAAGTAAAGTACAGTATGTACCTACAAATTTAGTTAATCCTTACGGTGCGAGTTCTGTTATATAACAGCTTTGAAGCCAGTGTCCGTCCTGTAGTACAGTGCTATGAGCTCAGCTCACTCAGATAAGCTACGAGTGGTAAATTTGGGCCTAGATATGAGAAAATGTGATAAAAGAGGAAAAGGTAGCTTATGAGAGGTTTTTACAAAGCAGAAGTGATATAAAAAGGTCAGAGTATATGGAGAATAAAAGAAAGGTGACGAGAGTGGTGAGAGAGTGCAAAAGGAGAGCAAATGAAAGTGTGGGAGAGGCACTGTCAAAAATTTTTGCTGAGAATAAGAAAAAATTATGGAGTGAGATAAACAGGTTAAGAAAGCCTAGGGAATGAATGGATTTGTCAGTTAAAAACAGAGTAAGGGAGTTAGTAGATGGGTAGCTGAAGGTATTGGGTAGATGGTGGGAATATTTTGAAGAATTTTTAAATGTCCACGAAGAAAGGGAGGCAGTAATTTCATGTACTGGTCAGGGAGGTATACCATCTTTTAGGAGTGAAGAGGAGCAGGATGTGAGTGTGGGGGAGGTGCACTAGGCATTACATAAAATGAAAAGGGGTAAAGTAGCTGGAACTGATGTGATCATGACAGAAATTTTAAAAGCAGGGGGGGAATGTAGTATTGGAGTGGTTGGTATTTTTGTTCAATAAATGTGTGAAAGAGGAAGGTACTTAGGGATTGGCAGAGAGCATGCATAGCTTCTTTATGCAAAGGGAAGGGGGACAAAAGAGATTGTAAAAATTATAGGGGAATAAGTTTACTGAGTATACCAGGTCAAGTGTATGGTTGGGTTATTATTGAAAGAATTAGAGGTAAGACAGAGAGTAAGATTGCAGAGGAGCAAGGAGGCTTTAGAGTGGGTAGGGGATGTGTAGATCAAGTGTTTACATTGAAACATATAGGTGAACAGTATTTAGATAAAGGTAGGAAAGTTTTTCATTGCATTTATGGATTTAGAAAAAGGCATATGATTGTGGATAGGGGAGCTATGTCACAGGTGTTGCAAGTATATGGAGTAGGTAGTAAGCTACTAAATGCTGTAAAGAGTTCTTATGAGGATAGTGAGGCTCAGGTTAGGGCATATAGGAGAGAGGGAGATTACTTCTTGGTAAAAGTAGGTCTTAGATAGGGATGTGTAATGTCACCATGGTTGTTTAATATTTTTATAGATGTGGTTGTAAAAGAAGTAAATGCTAGGGTGTTGGAGAGATGGGTGGGATTAAATTATGGGGAATCAAATACAAAATGTGAGTTGACACAGTTACCTTGTGCTGATGATACTGTGCTTATGGGTGATTCTAAAAAAAAGTTGCAAAGGTTAGTGGACGAGTTTGTGAGGGTGTGTAAAGGTAGAATGTTGAAAGTGAACATATACATAAAAGTAAGGTGATGAGGGTATCAAACGAATTAAATAAAGAAAAATTGCATATCACATTGGAGAGAGGGAGTATGGAAGAAGTGAATGTTTTCAGATATTTGGGAGTTGACTTGTCAGTGGATAGGTTTATGAAGGATGAGGTTAACCATAGAATTGATGGCGATAAAAAGGTGAGTGGTGTGTAGAGGTATCTGTGAAGACAAAAAACATTATCCATGGAGGCAAAGAAGGGAATGTACAAAAGTATAGTGGTACCAACACTCTTATATGATTGTGAAGCTTGGGTTGTAAATGCTGCAGTGAGGAGGTGGTTGGAGGCAACGATGTCCTGTCTAAGGGTAATGTGTGATGTAAATATTATGCAGAGAATTTGGAGGGTGGAAATTAGGAGGTGTGGAGTTACTAAAAGTATTAGTCAGAGGGCTGAAGAGGGGTTGTTGAGGTGGTTTGGTCATTTAGATAGAATGGAACATAGTAGAATGACATGGAGGGTGTATAAATCTGTAGGGAAAGGAAGGCGGGGTAGGGATTGTCCTCGAAAAGGTTGGAGGGAGGGGATAAAGAAGGTTTTGTGGGCGAGGAGCTTGGACTTCCAGCAAGCATGCATGAGCGTGTTAGATAGGAGTGAATGTAGATGAATTTTTTTTGGGGACTTGACGAGCTGTTGGAGTGAAGCAGGGTAATATTTTGTAAGGGATTCGGGAAAGGGGGTTTTTAGCCGGACTTGGTTCCGGAAAGGGGACGACAATGCCTGCACTTAAAAAGAAGGGGTTTAGGATATTTACGTTTGGATGGATTTGATCTGTATATTGAGTGCTCTCAAAGTTTGTGATTATGTATGAGTGATGGTGGAAAAGTATTAAATGATAAAAAAAGTATTTTTTTTTTTTTTTTTTTTTTGGGGTACCTGCCTCGGGGGGAAATGGCCAGGGGTTAATTAAACAATATTTGATGGCTGTACTTGAGCTACTGTTGGCCAAAATCACTTAATGTATGTACAGTCAGCCCATCTTTTTTCTTATGTTCATTTGCTTCAGGTGCCAACATAAATTTTCTTAGATTTAGCTTTTTACTGTAACTTATTAAACCATTTTCTTTTTTTTAAGCTGGGTTTAGGCTACTTTAATTAAATATACATTTGGCTACAAAAAGGTAATAAAAAATTTCTGCAGAAAATCTTGTAAGAAGGGGGTGAGAATAACCGGGAAACATTCAAAGGGATTGAGCTGGACTGGACAGTAAATAGAAGGTTTAATTTTAATTTTGAAATGGAAATGTGCAATGATTTTTTGCTCATGAAAAGTAATTTTGTTAGTTGCCTTCAGGGGGGAAATAGTTTAAGGTTGTTAATATTTAGTTTTTACCCATTTCCCTTCCGGGGCAATCCCCTGAACTGCCACTTTTTGTTGTTTCATATTTTTTTTTTAACACATTGGCCTTACCCACCAAAGGGGGGACCCGAAAAGAAAAACATTTTTCATTATCTTTTACTCCATCACTGTCTTGCAGAGGGCTGCCGTACGCATTTATAAAACTAAACTTCTGTTCTTTCAAAAAACCCGGCCTATCCCCCCCGAGGCAGGGGGGCCCAAAAAGAAAAAAAAAAGTTTTCTTTTAAAATTTTAGTAATTTTAAAGGAGAAGGGGTTATACCCCTTGCCCCCGGGCTTTTGTCGCTTCTTACAACAGCGGCTATGGGGGAAAGAATTCTGTTCACTTCCCCATGGAGTTTAGAGGAAATAAACAAAAACAAGAACTAGAAAAAAAATAGCAGAAAACCCAAGGGGTGTGTATATAAGCTTGTACATGTTGTGAGTGTGACCTAAGTGTAATAGAATTTGCAAGACGTACCTAAAATTTTGCTGTTTATGAGAAGAAAAAAGACACCACAATCCTCCCCATCAGTAAAAAAATTTAAGGCTTTCGTTTTAAAAACATTGGCGGAGGTAGTACCCCCTTGGCGGTTGCGTCTACCACCCTACTACCTAAAAAACTGAACTTATAAACACTATATTATTGTGTGTTGTTTTTTAACACAGTGGCCATTCCCCCCAAGGGCAGGGGACTTAAAATGAAACATTTCATCATCATTCACACTGCACTGTCTTGCCAGAGGCATGTGATATGCAGTTTAGAGTCACTTTAAGCAGAAATCATCCCAACCCCCTTCTTTGGTGCGGCACTTATATTTCCCACCCCCGTGACTAAAGTCGGCCCCCATTTTTTCCTAAATCCCTTCAGAAAATATTACCTTGTCACGCTCAAAAGAAAAGTCCCAAAAAACCATTTTCTCTCCACTCATTGTAAAAAACACACACAAAACCACACCCACACACACACCACACACACCACCACACACACACACACACCCCACACACACACACACACACACACACCACCACAACACACACACCCACACACAACACACACACAACACACACACAACAAACACACACACACACAAACAAAAAACCCACACACACCACACAACAAAACACACACACCCCACACACACACACCGCGCGCGCATAACGTACGTGCACCTCCTGCTGTATGTCTAACCCCCAAGCACAAAAAAAAACCCTTCCTCCGTCCACCCTTTCCCAGGTACCCCTACCCTCTTCCCCTCCTTAGACACCATCCCACGCTTCCACCCTCCCCCCTCGCGCAAATTTTCGCAACCCATTTTCAACAGTTACCACTATGCACCCCCCCACCTTTTTCCGTTCATCATTCTATGGTTTTCCTTGTCTTTATTATCAAACCCTTATCCCTCCAAATTCAGAATGCATTCACTTTTTTCCATACCAGCTCCAATCTTTTATCCATTTTTTTTTCCTTTCCTAATTTAATACCCCCATACCCTTTTTCTTTCTTGTTTCTTTCAACTTCCCTTTCCAAAACCCTCTGAAATCGTCCACTAAGCTTTGCAAACCCCCTTTAAATCTCCCAAATCACAGCTATCAGCAAAAAGTAAATGTCAACTCCATTTTGTTTTCTTTTTCTTTCAAGAAATGCCTTTTTCCCTCAAGGCAGGGGGGTCAAAAAAAAAAAAGAAAATTTCTCTTTTAAATTTAGTAATTTATCAGGGAAAGGGGTTACTGCCCTGCTCCCGGCATTTTTGTTGCTTCTTAGAATCATGGTTTCGGAGCAAGAATTCTTTTTTTTTTTGTGGAGTTTTTTTTTTTTTTTTTTTTTTTGCTTTTTTTTTTAAGGCTTTTTTTTTTTTTTTTTTCCACCTCCTAATATGCTACCCCGATCCCCCCATATTTTCCTTTAAAAAATTTCACTTTAGAACTTGATACCCGTTCCATAACTTGTAACGTTTTCACAAAGGCTTCTCTATCCTCCCATCTTTTTTTTTTTTAACAAGTCGATGTTCCCCCGAGGCAAGGTGACCCCAAAAAAAGAAAATTTACCATATTTATGCATGATCACTTTCATATACCCCCTTCATTTTCCTTTTCTAAATCCCTCAAATAACCAAAAAATTTTGCACCTTTATTTTTTTATCTCTTTCTTATTTCTCTTCAAAAAAAAATAAAGCTTCCTAATGGAATTTAAAATTTTCTATTTGTGTTTGGGGGGTGAGCTCCGCTGTTGGGCCTGCTTTAACCTACAACCGATGATATGGTAGTCGTCAAAAATATTTTTTTAATGCCCTGCTTGGGTTTGCTTTCCTGTACCGACTAGGTCATTCAACTTTTTCAGTTTTTTGTTTAATAGGGGTTTTGTTATGGGGTACACTTTATGGTTTAAAAAAAGGGAACTAATTTTTAACTATTGGGGAGTGGGTTGAGCGCAGAAAGTTTTTAGTGTTCTTGTGAAAAATACAAATCTGGAGTTTTAAAAGTATGATTAAAATCATAAAATGACGAATTTAGACATATCCAATTTCATGATGTTAGGAAATTTTGTGACTTAAGAAACCCCAGTTTGCTTCATACCTCTCCTTACAAATATAGTTGTCATAAATGGTATACAATACGACAGGATGAAAAATTAGACTGTGAACATCTGGGGATCTTTATTTGTAGATGTTTTGTCATCAGTGGCTTTATCGTTATACAAGACTTTTGAAGGGGCTGGGTATAATTTTTCAAATTTTTTGTTTGGTCCCGTAGTTTTGGCATATTGGCAAAGATATTGACTTTAATGGTGGGAAAGGTTTTGTGAAATCAGTAGTAATTGATAGTGTTTTAAGAATTTACAAATCATTTTATTTCAATTTAACTCTTACTAGAAGCCTATGCAGTTTCAAAACACCTCTGCATTACTTTTCCCCATATTTTTCAGATTTCACTTGTGTCTTTGTATACATAACTACAGTGCGTCTATCTTAATTGCCCTTTTCTTCAACAGGCACGTTTGCAAATATTAACGATTCACACCAAAAGTTGGGTCCCAGTTCTAAGTAAGCGCCTTTTGCATTACTTAGCAGAGCAGACTGTTGGCTACTGTGGTGCTGATCTAAAGTCACTCTGTGCTGAATCTGCATTAATTGCCCTCAGAAGCAAATACCCACAAATCTACTCTTCCAAACACAAGCTTCTGATAGATGTGTCTACAATTACTGTAAGTGTTTTACTAAATGATGTAGACCTGTAATAAAAGAATTTCTGCTTTTATAAAACTTGTGCAGTAAACAGTTTTTTGTATCTTCATACTTGTAAATATGAATGAATTGTATTTAATCTAATAGACTATGCAATTTTTACAACAGATAAAATTGTGTCACTTTCGAGCAGCAATGAAAAAGATAGTCGCAGCCGGACACAGGTCATCTGCTAGTATTGGCCGACGCCTCAGTTCTACGGTGCAACCATTACTCCAAGGATCTCTCAATTGTGCCCTAAGGCTGCTGTCAGAAAGGTTTCCTCATGCTTTCATCAAATTTCCAGCTAGCCTAAAGAGCCGCACTACTCATAGACCAAGACTATTGCTGGCTGGGTTGAGAACTCAAGGTCAAAGCACCCATCTAGCACCAGCAATTATTCATTCTCTGGAAAAGGTTCCTACTCACAAGTTGGATCTTGCTACATTGTATTCAGTCTCTGCACGGGCACCAGAAGAAGCGTGTGCACAGGTAAGTCTTTGGTGTGTCCTGTAAGTACAAGACTAATTAATTACTTTCTTTAGTCTGTGTAGGTGCTCCTCAGCTTACGATTGGGTTACATTCTGACAAACCCATTGTCACTTGACAATTTCGTAAGTCAAATATAATTTTTTTTGCCTCAAACCAGCCATATCCCACTGAGGCAGTGTGACCTAAAAAGAAAGATGAAAGTTTTTCTCTCTAAATTTGGTAATTTATACAGGAGATCAAACATAAATATGATATGATTGGATGGTAAGTTTAGAAGTGGGTGTCCAGTGGGCTGATAGATATGAGTACAGTGGACCCTCGCCTAGCGGTATTAATCCATTCCTGAGAGCTTGTCATTAGCCGAATTAATTTTCCACATAAGAAATAATGGAAATCAAATTAATCCGTTTCTGACACCCTGAAGTATGAAAAAAAAAAATTACCATACGAAATTACATTTTTATACACCCAAAAAGAAAAAGACATGCACAATTACTACTGTATGAAATAAAGAATTCATGACACTTACCTTTATTGAAGATCTGGTGATGATTGATGGGATGGGAGAAGAGGAGATGGTGGAAGTTGTTATTGTTTGGAAGGGAAACTCCTTTCCATGAGGACTTGAGGTAGCAAGTTCTTTTCTGGAGTTACTTCCCTTCATCTTTTAATGCCACTAGGACCAGCTTGAGAGTCACTGGGCCTCTGTCGCACAACAGATCTGTCCATAGAGCTCTGTACCTCGTGCTCCTTTAAGATTTGCCTAAAATGGGCCACAACATTGTCATTGTAATAGTCACCAACACGGCTTGCAATATCTGTGTTAGGGTGATTTTCATTCAAAAAAGGTTTGCAGTTCAACCCACTTTGCACACATTTCCTTAATCTCTCTCTTTCAATTCCATACTAGTTCTCGCCCTTTTTACTACAGGGTTGGCACTAGAAGCTTTCTTGGGGTCCATGGTGACTTATTTTGCAGTTACAAGCACTAAAAACACTGGGATAATGTGAAATGTACCGAATGTATGCGTAGATGGGACTGCACTGGCTGGCTTGCAAACACTGGTACCCACGGGGCAGCGTTGACAGGTCCTGGACGAATCACGTTGGGCGAGTTTTTTATCGTTAGGCGGGGCAAAATGTTTACGCTCAAACACTTCGTTGTGCGGATTTAACGTTATGCGATGCGTTCATTAGGCGAGGGTCCACTGTATATAGACATATAGAACAAAGTGTTATTGGGACTGTTTTGCTCAATCCTGAGTTAAACCATATCATAATAAAAGCCTAAGCTTATTGTCTTCACACAAACTGACAAGTATTCATTAGTGATCAAAATTTAAACCTTTCAAGGTCCAGAGGCCGAATTTCAAAGGGTGCACCAGTGTCCAAGAATTTTCAAAAAATAATTTTGTTATTTTTTCTTATGAAATGGTAGAGAATCCTTTTCTGAAGGTAATAAAACAAAAAAGTACGAAATTTGATGGAAAACTGACGAAATTATGCTCTCGTGAATTTTAATGTGTCAGCGATATTTACGCATTGGCGATTTTGCGGACTTTGACTCCCATTTTAGGCCAATCACATTATTCCAGTCGACCAAATTCTTAGCTATTTCACTAGCATTACTTCTATCGATTGAGCACAAGAATTCGCCAAGTCAGCTGTTTCATCTACAAAATAAAGTGGTCGGAAATTGGTAATTTGGCCAATTTAATGCAAAGTTCAAAATACTCCAATTTCAAAATAGGGTCCAGAATAAACAATGCAGGCATTCCTGGCACTAAACTAACATTTCCTCTGTTCATTAGTTACGTTTTCAGGCTTTACTAATGAATTCTGTTTTGATTTTTTATTCGCGTAATGAATTTTTATTCAAACCAAAAAATAGAAGATTTACTGTTATGCAATATTGTAATAATTGTATAAATAATATCAGCACATTTGTGAAAGTATATTAGACCTACCAGCAGGTGTTTATTAGACGTGTGAGGTCATTTGTTTACTCTTGAACATCGGCAAAATTACGGTCTCGGTTTTTTTTCTCTCATGCACTATGTGCTGCAGGATTTGTTTTATGTGGTGCACACATACCACATAGATGAATTCTCTCATATCAAGGCCAAAATTTACCACTCACAGCTTATCAGAGTGAGCTGAGCTCATGACGTAGATCTACAATTTGGACCCTCAACATAAAGCCGTAAATCTACGACACGGAGCCTCAAGGGGTTAATAAATGCACTAACCAATAACACAATAGATTCCCCACTCTAAAATATTAATGCATTCCTAAAAATCATTCATTACTCAAGTTTTCAGAACTCTGAGCTTATTTTTCCATAAGATACCCACATTATAATACGAGATGCTGTCCTCAGTCATGATATTTCATATATCATTTCATTTATTTGCTATTGAAATTAAAAATAATATACACTACAGTAATGAAAATTTGCTAGATATCATCTTCACAATCAATAAGGTACTACTGTTGAGGCCAAACGATGACACTTAAGAACATAAAGACACAATGTGCAAAACAAGCTTTTCTTGGGTCTACACTTCACTCTAACCCTCAACCCAGAGCTTGTTCTGAATATTGTTTTTATACCCATATGTATCTACACACTTCTGGTGAGACAGTAATAGTATGAATGATGGTGAAAGTGTTTCTTTTTCGGGTCACCCTGCCTTGGTGGGACACAGCCAGTGTGTTAAAAAGAAACATATAATGGAACCTCGGTTTATGGTTGATTTTTTTGTTCTGAGTTACAAGCCAAAATCCGAGTTATGAGCGACCTTCCCCCTCAAGGGAGAATTCTTGACACTGGTGAGGGGCTCTTGATCTAGGAAATTGGATCTGTGCTCCAGTTCCCTAAATTAAGCCTGAATACCTTCCATCCCCTCCTCCCCACAGGCTCTGTATAATCTTATGGGTTTAGTGCTTCCTTATCATAATGATAATGAGCGAGCGAGCTTCAGACATGAGCGTGTTAGATAGGAGTGAATGGAGACGAATGGTATTTGGGACCTGACGAGCTTTTGGAGTGTGAGCAGGGTAATATTTAGTGAAGGGATTCAGGGAAACCGGTTATTTTATATAACCGGACTTGAGTCCTGGAAATGGGAAGTACAATGCCTGCACTCTAAAGGAGGGGTTTGAGATATTGGCGGTTTGGAGGGATATATTGTGTATTTTTTTTTTTTTCAACAAGTCGGCCGTCTCCCACCGAGGCAGGGTGACCCAAAAAAAGAAAGAAAATCCCCAAGAAGAAAATACTTTCATCATCATTCAACACTTTAACCACACTCACACATTATCACTGTTTTTGCAGATGTGCTCAGGATACAACAGTTTAGAAGCATATACATAAAAAGATACACAACATATCCCTCCAAACTGCTAATATCCCAAAACCCCTCCTTTAAAGTACAGGCATTGTACTTCCCATTTCCAGGACTCAAGTCCGAATATATGAAAATAACCGGTTTCCCTGAATCCCTTCACTAAATATTACCCTGCTCACACTCCAACAGATCGTCAGGTCCCAAGTATCATTCATCTCCATTCACTCCTATCTAACACGCTCATGCACGCTTGCTGGAAGTCCAAGCCCCTCGCCCACAAAACCTCCTTTACCCCCTCTTTCCAACCCTTTCGAGGACGACCCCTACCCCTCTTTCCTTCCCTTATAGATTTATATGCTTTCCATGTCATTCTACTTTGATCCATTCTCTCTAAATGACCAAACCACCTCAACAACCCCTCTTCTGCCCTCTGACTAATGCTTTTATTAACTCCACACCTTCTCCTAATTTCCACACTCTGAATTTTCTGCATAATATTTACACCACACATTGCCCTTAGACAGGACATCTCCACTGCCTCCAACCGTCTCCTCGCTGCTGCATTTACCACCCAAGCTTCACATCTATATAAGAGTGTTGGTACTACTATACTTTCATACATTCCCTTCTTTGCCTCCACAGATAACGTTTTTTGACTCCACATATACCTCAACGCACCACTCACCTTTTTTCCCTCATCAATTCTATGATTAACCTCATCCTTCATAAATCCATCCGCCGACACGTCAACTCCCAAGTATCTGAAAACATTCACTTCTTCCATACTACTCCTCCCCAATTTGATATCCAATTTTTCTTTATCTAAATCATTTGATACCCTCATCACCTTACTCTTTTCTATGTTCACTTTCAACTTTCTACCTTTACATACATTCTCAAACTCATCCACTAACCATTGCAATTTTTCTTTAGAATCTCCCATAAGCACAGTATCATCAGCAAAAAGTAACTGTGTCAATTCCCATTTTGAATTTGATTCCCATAATTTAATCCTACCCTCTCCCGAACACCCTAGCATTTACTTCTTTTACAACCCCATCTATAAATATATTAAACAACCATGGTGATATTACACATCCCTGTCTAAGACCTACTTTTACCGGGAAGTATTCTCCCTCTCTTCTACACACCCTAACCTGAGCCTCACTATCCTCATAAAAGCTCTTTACAGCATTTAGTAACTTACCACCTATTCCATAAACTTGCAACATCTGCCACATTGCTCCTCTATCCACTCTATCATATGCCTTTTCTAAATCCATAAATGCAATAAAAACTTCCCTACCTTTATCTAAATACTGTTCACATATATGCTTCAATGTAAACACTTGATCTAGACATCCCCTACCCACTCTGAAGCCTCCTTGCTCATCCGCAATTCTGCATTCTGTCTTACCTCTAATTCTTTCAATTATAACCCTACCGTATACTTTTCCTGGTATACTCAGTAAACTTATTCCTCTATAATTTTTACAATCTCTTTTGTCCCCTTTCCCTTTATATAAAGGGACTATACATGCTCTCTGCCAATCCCTAGGTATCTTCCCCTCTTTCATACATTTATTAAACAAAAGTACCAACCACTCCAACACTATATCCCCCCCTGCTTTTAACATTTCTGTCATGATCCCATCAGTTCCAGCTGCTTTACCCCCTTTCATTCTACGTAATGCCTCACGTACCTCCACCACACTTACATTCTGCTCTTCTTCACTCCTAAAAGATGGTATACCTCCCTGGCCAGTGCATGAAATTACCACCTCCCTTTCTTCCTCAACATTTAAAAGTTCCTCAAATATTTCCCCCATCTACCTAATACCTCCCTCTCCCCATCTACTAACTCCCCTACTCTGTTTTTAACGGACAAATCCATACTTTCCCTAGGCTTTCTTAACTTGTTTAACTCACTCCAAAATTTTTTCTTATTTTCATTAAAATTTCTTGACAGTGCCTCTCCCACTCTTTCATCTGCTCTCCTTTTGCAGTCTCTCACCACTCTCTTCACCTTTCTTTTACTCTCCATATACTCTGCTCTTCTTATAACACTTCTGCTTTGTAAAAACCTCTCGTAAGCTACCTTTTTCTCTTTTATCACACCCTTTACTTCATCATTCCACCAATCACTCCTCTTTCCTCCTGCCCCCACCCTCCTATAACCACAAACTTTTGCCCCACATTCTAATACTGCATTTTTAAAACTCATCCAACCTTCTTCAACCCCCCCACTACTCATCTTTGCACTAGCCCACCTTTCTGCCAATAGTCGCTTATATCTCGCCCGAACTTCCTCCTCCCTTAGTTTATACACTTTCACCTCCCTCTTACTTGTTGTTGCCACCTTCCTCTTTTCCCATCTACCTCTTATTCTAACTGTAGCTACAACTAAATAATGATCTGATATATCAGTTGCCCCTCTATAAACATGTACATCCTGGAGCCTACCCATCAACCTTTTATCCACCAATACATAATCTAACAAACTACTTTCATTACGTGCTACATCATACCTTGTATATTTATTTATCCTCTTTTTCATAAAATATGTATTACTTATTACCAAATTTCTTTCTACACATAGCTCAATTAAAGGCTCCCCATTTACATTTACCCCTGGCACCCCAAATTTACCTACTACTCCCTCCTATAACATTTTTACCCACTTTAGCATTGAAATCCCCAACCACCATTACTCTCACACTTGATTCAAAACTCCCCACGCATTCACTCAACATATCCCAGAATCTCTCTCTCTCCTCTACACTTCTCTCTTCTCCAGGTGCATACACGCTTACTATAACCCACTTTTCACATCCAATCTTTATTTTACTCCACATAATCCTTGAATTTATGCATTTGTAGTCCTCTTTTCCTGCCATAGCTTATCCTTCAACATTATTGCTACTCCTTCTTTAGCTCTAACTCTATTTGAAACCCCTGACCTAATCCCATTTATTCCTCTCCATTGAAACTCTCGCACCCCCTTCAGCTTTGTTTCACTAAAAGCCAGGACATCCAGTTTCTTCTCATTCATAACATCCACAATCATCTTTTTCTTATCATTTGCACAACATCCACGCACATTCAGACTTCCCACTTTGACAATTTTCTTCTTCTTATTCTTTTTAGTAATCTTTACAGGAAAAGGGGTTACTAGCCCATTGTTCCCGGCATTTTAGTTGACTTTTACAACACGCATGGCTTACGGAGGAAAGATTCTTATTCCACTTCCCCATGGATATAAAAGGAAAAGTAATAAGACCAAGAACTATTAAGATAAAATCAAAGAAAACTCAGATGAGTGTGTATAAATAAACATGTACATGTATGTGTAGTGTGACCTAAGTGTAAGTAGAAGTAGCAAGACGTACCTGTAATTTGCAAGTGTCTCCTATAAATTCATTGAATAAGCTGATGACTGTTTTAGAAATTTCTTCCTAAATTAAGAAAAAAATGTCTACTCTTAAAATTTATTGTTCTCATACATAGTCTTGCATCAGGTTTGACTTCATCTCCTTACCTATTATAAATTTAAAAAAAAAAAAAATCTCTCCACAGATCTTTCACGAGGCACGACGTAATCTTCCAAGTATCATTTACGTTCCACACATTGACCAGTGGTGGGGAACAACTTCAGAAACCTTGCGTGCAACTTTCATGTCTCTCCTGCTCGACCTTGATCCTTCTTCTCCACTGCTGCTATTAGCTACATCAGATACACCATATGATGAGCTGGATGCTGATGTAAGTATAGAATGTAATAACTTGTTTGTAGCTACAGCAGCAGCAGAGCTGTGCTCATGGTAATCGCTCTTAAGTACTGTAATTATTTCTTCGTATGAAATTTCCAAAAATTTCCAGTGGTTGTGATAGTTGCCGTGAGATAGTTAGATGCATATTTCTAATTTATTTTTAAGTCAGTAGCTATCTCCCATCAAGGCAGGTTGACTTAAAGAAGAAGAAACATTCACCATCATTCATCCAGTTGTCATCTTTCTAGTGTGGATTTTTTTTTTGTGTGTAATTATCTACCTGTAGCTGTGGGAGCTAAGCTAAGCTGGCAGTACCCCTCAGTACAGTCTTCCCTATAATTATGGGCTTCCTTACTCTGGATTTCAATTATTTTTATTTCTTTTCTTCTTTCAACGTACCAGCCGTATCCCACTGAGGTGGGGTGGCCCAAAAGAAAAAACTGAAGTTTCTCCTTTTAAATTTAGTAATATATACAGGAGAAGGGGTTACTAGCCCCTTGCTCCCGGCATTTTAGTCGCCTCTTACGACACACATGGCTTACAGAGGAAGAATTCTGTTCCACTTCCCCATGGAGATAAGAGGAAATAAATAAGAACAGGAACTAAAAAGAAAATAGCAGAAAACCCAGAGGGGTGTGTATATATATGCTTGTACATGTATGTGTAGTGTGACCTAAGTGTAAGTAGAAGTAGCAAGACTTACCTGTAGTCTTGCATATTTATGAGACAGACAAAAGACACCAGCAATCCTACCATCATGTAAAACAATTACAGGCTTTCGTTTTACACTCACTTGGCAGGACGGTAGTGCCTCCCTGGGCGGTTGCTGTCTACCAACCTACTACCTACTATTTTTATTTATTGTTTTTTATTAACACATCAGCAGATTCCCACCAAGGCAGGGTGGCCCGAAAAAGTAAAACTTTCATCATTCACTCCACTGTCTTGCCAGAAGGGTGCTTTACACTACAGTTTATTAAACTGCAACATTAACACCCTTCCTTCAGAGTGCAGACACTGTACTTCCCATATCCAGGACTCAAGTTCGGCATGCCGGTTTCCCTGAATCCCTTTATAAATGTTACTTTGCTCACACTCCAACAGCATGTCAAGTATTAAAAACCATTTGTCTCCATTCACTCTTATCAAATACTCTCACACATGCTTGCTGGAAGTCCAAGCCCCTCGCACACAAAACCTCCTTTACCCATTCCTTCCAACCTTTCCTAGGCCAACCCCTACCTTGCCTTCCCTCCACTACAGATTTATACACTCTCAGTCATTCTGTCTCATTCCATTCCTTCTCTACATGTCCGAACCACCTTAACAACCCTTCCTCAGCCCTCCTGACAACAGTTTTGGCAATCCTGCACCTCCTTCTAACATCCAAACTATGAATTCTCTTCATTATATTCACACCACACATTGTCCTCAGACATGACATATCCACTGCCTCCAGCCTTCTCCTCACTGCAACTTCTCTTCAAAATCTCCCAAGAGCACAGTGTCATCAGCAAAAAGCAACTGTGACAACTCTCACTTTGTGTTTGAATCTTTATCTTTTAACTCTACACCTCTTGCCAAGACCCTCACATTCACTTCTCTTACAATGTTTTGTACCAACTGGCAATCAATATGTAGATTCGGTTATCTGACTTTGTCTGGCTTGATGGCTTTCCTATGCCTAAATCTCTCCATTTTGGTCATTATTTCCTATGAATGTCAGTAAGTGATGTATTACAAAGGTACGATGTCAGAAACACAGTTAACTAAAATCTGAAAAAAATTATGCTCATTTAATTTTGTATTATTTGTGATTTCTAGTTTCATGGCCCTTCTATTACTGTAACACCCTCCTCCCCCTCTATCCTTCTCTTTTCCTGCAAAAACTTGAAGGGACAACTGTATTTAATTTACTATATTTTTGGGATGACTCGCAAAATCGTAATGACACGATTGCAAACAAACCATGCCACGGGCGGGATTTGAACCCGTGGTCTGGAGTTTTGAGACTCGCGGTCAGAGAGTCTCAAAACTCCAGACCGCGGGTTCAAATCCCGCCCGTGGTATGGTTTGTATTTTTGGGGTTTGGGATATTGGCAGTTTGGAGTGACTGTCTAAACTGTCGTATCTGGGCGCTTCTGCAAAGACAGTGATTATGTATGAGTGATGGTGAAAATGTTGAATGATAATGAAAGTTTTTTCTTTCTTTTTGGGTTTTTCTTTCTTTTGGGTCACCCTGCCTTGGTGGGAAACGGTCGATGTGTTAAAAAAAAAAATGTGAACAGTATTTAGAAAAAGGTAGGGAAGTGTTTGTTGCATTTATGGATTTAGAAAAGACGTATGATAGAGTGGATAGGGGGACAATGTGGCAGATATTGCAAGTGTATGGAATAGGTAGTAAGTTACTAAATGCCGTAAAGAGTTTTTATGACGATAGTGTGGCTCAGATTAGGGTGTGTAGGAGAGTGGTCTGAGACAGGGATGTGTAATTTCACCATGGTTGATTAACATATTTATAGATGAGGGTTGTAAAAGAGGTAAGGTGGGATTAAAGTATGAGGGAATCAAATACAAATTGGGGGTTGATACAGTTACTTTTTGCTGATGATACTGTACTTTTAGGAGATTCTAAAGAAAAGTTGCTAAGGTTAGTGGACGAGTTCGGGAGGGTGTGTAAAAGTAGAAAGTTGAAAGTGAACATAGATTAGAGTAAGGTGATGAGGGTATCATATGATTTAGAGGAAAGAAAACTGGATATCACATTGGAGGAGTTGACTTGTCAGTGGATGGGTTTATGAGGGATGAGGTTAACCATAGAATTGATGGAGAAAAGGCGAGTGGTGCAGTGAGGTATCTGTGGAGACAAAAAAATGCTATCCATGGAGGCAAAGAAGGGAATGTATGAGAGTATAGTAGTACCAACACACTTATGTGGGTGTGAAGCTTGGGTTGTAAATGCTGCAGCGAGGAGACAGCTTAAGGCAGTGGAGATGTCATGTCTAAGAGCTATGTGTGGTGTTAATATTATGCAGAGAATTCATAGTGTCCTAGGTAGTAGGTTGGTAGACAGCACCCGCCCAGAGGGGTACTACCGTCCTGCCAAGTGAGTGTAAAACAAAAGCCTGTAATTGTTTTACATGATGGTAGGATTGCTGGTGTCCTTTTTTCTGTCTCATAAACATGCAAGATTTCAGGTACGTCTTGCTACTTCTACTTACACTTAGGTCACACTACACATACATGTACAAGCATGTATATATACACACCCCTTTGGGTTTTCTTCTATTTTCTTTCTAGTTCTTGTTCTTGTTTATTTCCTATCTCCATGGGGAAGAGGAACAGAATTCTTCCTCCATAAGCCATGTGTGTTGTAAGAGGAGACTAAAATGCTGGGACCAAGGGGCTAGTAACCCCTTCTGTATAAATTACTAAATTTAAAAAGAGAAACTTTCGTTTTTCTTTTTGGGCCACCCTGCCTTGGTGAGATACGGCCGGTTTGTTGAGAAAAAAACATTCATAGTGTGGAGATTAGGAGGTGTGGAGTTAGTAAAAGTATTAGTCAGAGGGCTGAAGAGGGGTTGTTGAGGAGGTTTGGTCATTTAAAGGGAATGAAACAAATTAGAATGACTTGGAGAGCATATAAATCTGTAGGGGAAGGAAGGCGGGGTAGGGGTCATCCTCAAAAAGTTTGGAGGGAGGGGGTAAATGAGGTTTTGTGGGCAAGGGGCTTGGACTTCCAGCAAGTATGTGTGAGCGTGTTAGATAGGAGTGAATGGAGACAATGGTTTTGGGACTTGACGAGCTGTTGGAGTGTGAGCAGGGTAATATTTTGTGAAGGGATTCAGGGAAACCAGTTAGTCAGACTTGAGTCCTAGAAATGGGAAGTACAGTGCCTGACCTTTAAAGAAGGGGTTTGAGATATTGGCGGTTTAGTGGGACATCTAAACTGTCGTATCTGAGCGCCTTTGCAATGACATTGATTATGTATTAGTGATGGTGAAAGTGTTGAATGATGATGAAAGCTTTTTTTTTTTTGGGTCACCCTGTCTCAGTGGGAGATGGCCGACATGTTTAAAATGAAAAAATAAGTTGGTGGGGATATTTGCAATTTTGACCTATAGTATTGGGGTGCTCTGGGAGGACAGTTATGGTGAAAGTGTTTCTTCTTTTTTTTGGTCACCCCCCACCTTGGTGGGAGATGGCTTATGTGTTAAAGGAAAAAAAAAGTTGGTTCCCTTGCTCTTCAAGTTAAAAAAATGATTTTATAAGTTATTATTCAAATTTAGTAAATTTTTTCATATGTGCAGAAAAGTGTGAATGTTCTTAAAAGTTCCTCTGGGCTTTGATGTCTGGCTGTTAATTTATAACCACAACACAGGGTGGTCAGGTTGTGTCATTGTTCACCACAGACAGGTCAGCCTGTGGAAAATTAAATTTACCTGGATGCAGCTCATAAGGTACATAACAGTAAATAGTAACAAAGATAATTATTCTTTATCAAGGTTACACAGACAAGTAGGAATTTTAGGACACCTAGGTCACAAAAAAATGTCCCCCTTCGATATCTACTACTGTCATATCCACAAGTCACTCTTGACCTATATTAATTTCAAATGAAATATACTTTTTTTTTTTTTCCAACAAGTCGGCCGTCTCCCACCGAGGCACAGTGACCCAAAAAGAAAGAAAATACTTTCATCATCATTCAACACTTTCACCTCACTCACACACAATCACTGTTTTTGCAGAGGTGCTCAGAACACAAGTTTAGAAGCATACGCGTATAAAGATGCACAACATATCCCTCCAAACTGCAAATATCCCAAAACCCCTCCTTTAGAGTGCAGGCATTGTACTTCCCATTTCCAGGACTCAAGTCTGGCTATATAAAAATAACTGGTTTCCCTGAATCCCTTCACTAAATATTACCCTGCTCACACTCCAACAGATCATCAGGTCCCAAATACCATTCGTCTCCATTCACTCCTATCGAACACGCTCATGCACGCCTGCTGGAAGTCCAAGCCCCTTGCCCACAAAACCTCCCTTACCCCTTCCTTCCAACCTTTTCGAGGACGACCCCTACCCCGCCTTCCTTCTCCTACAGATTTAAATGCTCTCCATGTCATTCTACTTTGATCCATTCTCTCTAAATGACCAAACCACCTCAACAACCCCTCTTCAGCCCTCTGACTAATACTTTTATTAACTCCACACCTTCTCCTAATTTCCACACTCCAAATTTTCTGCATAATATTTACACCACACATTGCCCTTAGACAGGACATCTCCACTGCCTCCAACTGCCTCCTCGCTGCTGCATTCACAACCCAAGCTTCACACCCATACAAGAGTGTTGGTACTACTATACTTTCATACATTCCCTTCTTTGCCTCCATAGATAACGTTTTTTGACTCCACCACTCACCTTTTTTCTCTCATCAGTTCTATGATTAACCTCATCCTTCATAAATCCATCCGCCGACACGTCAACTCCCAAGTATCTGAAAACATTCACTTCTTCCATACTTCTTGTCCCCAATTTGATATCAAATTTTTCTTTATCTATATCATTTGATACCCTCATCACCTTACTCTTTTCTGTGTTCACTTTCAACTTTCTACCTTTACACACTCCCAAACTCATCCACTAACCTTTGCAATTTTTCTTTAGAATCTCCCATAAGCACAGTATTATCAGCAAATAGTAACTGTGTCAATTCCCATTTTGTATTTGATTCCCCATAATTTAATCCCATCCCTCTCCCTAACACCCTAGCATTTACTTCTTTTACAACCCCATCTATAAATATATTAAACAACCATGGTGACATTACACATCCCTGTCTAAGACCTACTTTTACTGGGAAGTAGTCTCCCTCTCTTCTACACACCCTAACCTGAGCCTCGCTATCCTCATAAAAACTCTTTACAGCATTTAGTAACTTACCACATATTCCATATACAGTACTTGCAACATGTGCCACATTGCTCCCCTATCCACTCTATCATATGCCTTTTCTAAATCCATAAATGCAATAAAAACTTCCCTACCTTTATCTAAATACTGTTCACATAATTCTTTCAATAATAACCCTACCGTACACTTTTCCTGGTATACTCAGTAAACTTGTTCCTCTATATTTTTTACAATTTCTTTTGTCCCCCTTCCCTTTATATAAAGGGACTATTCATGTTCTCTGCCAATCCCTAGGTACCTTCCCCTCTTTAATTCATTTATTAAACAAAAGTACCAACCACTCCAACACTATATCCCTCCCCTGCTTTTAACATTTCTGTCATGATCCCATCACTTCCAGCTGCTTTATCCCTTTTCACTCTACGTAATGCCTCACGTACCTCCCCTACACTTACATTCTGCTCTTTTTCACTCCTTAAGGATGGTATACCTCCCTGGTCAGTGCATGAAATTACCGCCTCCGTTTCTTCCTCAACATTTAAAAGTTCCTCAAAATATTCTCTTATTGCATTTTTAAAACTCATCCAACCCTCTTCAACCCCCCACTACTCACCTTTGCACTAGCCCACCTTTCTGCCAATAGTCACTTATATCTCACCCGAACTTCCTCCTCCCTTAGTTTATACACTTTCACTTCCCTCCTACTTGTTGTTGCCACCTTCCTCTTGTCCCATCTACCTCTTACTCTAACTGTAGCTACATCTAAATAATGATCCTATATAACAGTTGCCCCTCTATAAACATGTACATCCTGGAGCCTACCCATTAACCTTTTATCCACCTATGCATAATCTAACAAACTACTTCAATTACGTGCTACATCATACCTTGTATATATATTTATCCTCTTTTTCATAAAATATGCATTACTTATTACCAAATCTCTTTCTACACATAGCTCAATTAAAGGAAATCTCTTTCTACACATAGCACCCCAAATTTACCTACTACTCCTTCCACAACATTTTTACCCACTTAAGCATTGAAATCCCCAACCACAAGTGCTCTCACATTTGGTTCAAAACTCCCCATGCATTCACTCAACATTTGTTAAAATCTCTCTCTCTCTCCTCTACACTTCTCTCTTCTCCAGGTGCATATACGCTTATTATAACCCACTTTTCACATCCAACCTTTATTTTACTCCACATAATCTTTGAATTAATACATTTATAGTCCTTTTCCTGCCATATCTTATCCTTCAACATTATTGCTATTCCTTCTTTAGCTCTAACTCTATTTGAAACCCCTGACCTAATCCCATTTATTCCTCTCCATTGAAACTCTTCCATCCTCCTTCAGCTTTGTTTCACTTAAAGCTCCTATTTGAGAGGTTTTAAGCCCAATATAACCCCTAGAGTGACGAAAATTTATGCATATTTCATTTGCGTGCCTGTACCACATTCAAAAACAATGGCGTCTCCCCTCCCCAGCGACACTCACCCATAGCTGGTTCTTTATTTATTTACAAATTAATTTCTTTTACCTATAGTATATTACACTAATTTACATAAAAAATACACTGTATTTTTGGAGAATATACACTATTTTCCACACAGCTGTTTTAAGTCTACCTGGGGTACACCTCTCTATTAATTTCCAGTTAGCTGGACTTGAGTCCTGGAAATGGGAAGTACAATGCCTTCACTTCAAAAGAGGGGTTTGGGATATTAGTAGTTTGGAGGGACTTCTGAATTGTCGTATCTGAGCGCCTCTGCAAAGACAATGATTATGTATGAGTGAGATGAAAGTGTTGAATGATGATGAAAGTATTTTCTTTTTGGGGATTTTCTTTCTATTTGGGTCACCCTGCCTCAGTGGGAGACAACAGACGTGTTAAAAAAAATAACAACACTCTTTACATCATTATCACATCCATGCACATTTACACAACTTGGATACAATATATTAAACTTTTGAATATTATATGGAATAAATGGGCATTTGGCAAGTTGTTCCAGGAAATTTAGTTTGCTTTCTACAATACACGTGGCTACAGGTGAAGGATTATTACCCATTTTTCCCTAGTGGACAAGAGTTATAAGTTGCAGATACAAGTAAATACTGTACATGGGAGAATTGCATGTATAATGAATTCAGGTAAAAATAATAGGATTCACTTGCAATCTTAATGTTTGTAAGACAGAAGGGAAACAGTCAGTGCTATCTGGATACAAAATGTTTAACAGGCTGTGATGAACACATGTGACAGGAGAGAATTCCCTTGTTAGATGTTTGCCATCTGCCAGACTTACTTCAAGTTTTTATGGAGAATGTGCTACTAAGGAATTGTGAATTATATTTTATTTTTTGCCTCTTAAGTCCGTCTCCTGCCAAGGCAGGATGACTCGGGGGAACTCATTTATATATAATTGAATTGCTTATTCCAGGAAGTAATAGCTTTAGTCTATTAATTTATTTTTACTATGTTATGCCAAGCTATTGCCTTTTTTTTTTTTTTTTTTTTTTTAGGTTCAGATGCTGTTTAGTGTTTATCGTGAGGAAATGATGGCAATGACCAATCCATTAGAAGATGAGAGGCGGCAGTTCTTTAAACCATTGTTCTTCACAGATATGCTTCAGAAACAAAAGGTAATTTAATACTTTGTGCTTTTATGTTTAATGTTCGTTTTTGAATATATGCGTACGATAAAGGCTCATGACAATGCTTTATCATGTTTTTTTTTTTTTTTATCACCGGCCGTCTCCCACTGAGGTATGGTGACGGGAGACAGCTAGCTTGTTAAAAAATAAATTTCTTATAAAATATTTAGAGATCCCTGAATCTGCACTTGCTTGAAATGCATAAAATGATGGGGTAAATATGTTTGAGGAATGTATGTGGAAGACATGCATAAATAAATGAGATATAGCTAGAATGCTGAGGATATCTAATGAGGTAAGAGCTTGAAACAGTGGTTTAAAGTTAGATAAATTTAGATTTTGAAAGCATAAAAGAGAGTTCTAATTTGACAATAGAGTTGTAAATGAGTAGAACAATGTCAAATAATCACTGAAACCAACACTGTGGGTAGCTTTAAAAATAGGTTAGACAAATAAATGAGGAGTTGGTTTTGATAAATGCTTAGCATGGGCCAGTAGGCCACCAGCAGTGCTCCTCGATCCTTGTGTTTTTATAACGAGTCATTATAGAGTAACTGATACATTAGAGATGTTAATTTAAAACAGACACAATGACTTGCCCTTCAACTAGTGTCAAGAGGTTGCAGAAGCTTGCAACCTTGACCTGTGTGTCTATGCGACATTAACAGACAAACGGTCTTTAAAGCTGTGGCTTTCTGTAGTGATTAGAAGAGTGGTCCATGTTTTGAAGAGAACACAACACTTAGGTAAATAGGAATATGCAAGTTGGAGTTAGCATTCCATCATCTGATAGATTATTCTGTTCATTAGAGAGCATACTGACCATTTTTGAACTTCGTTTCCTTGATACACACAACCTTTAATATGATGTATGTAAATGGTTTAGAAAACTGACAAGTTGAAGAATGAGACACTTGTGCAACATTTAGATCCTCAATAAAGATTCCCAAATGTTGCAAAAGTGTCTCATTCTACAAATATTAATGCTGAGTCTCTTGACTTTTTTCTAACAAGATTTACTACACTTTGTGTAAAGTGTCATCCCTTCTGCTCCTTTTCTCCATGACATTGGGTGTCCCATGCAACACTGTATAACTAAACCTAAGTATAGTGCTCTCTGAATAGTAAAATTATAATACTTGGGAGCTGACAGACAGACATAACTTCTGCATTTGGGCTTGGTTTTATGTAATTTGACTATGGGAAGTGGGTATCTTCTTGGCCTCTACAGCTTTCCTCTCCAAGTTAGATGCCATCTATAATCAGGACTTACTTTTGTTGAAAGGCTGTTTGGTCTTGCCCTGTTGAGGGTTGTTCATTAAGAGTTAACCCGTAAATGGTCCAAAAATATATATGTTCTCTCGCCCAGTGCCCCGAATATTTTGAATTTTTTTTTTTTTTTTATGTAGAAATAAAGAGCACATTTATTTAAGTGCTATAGGATAAAAAAAAAATTTGGGTCAGTACTTATTGAGATACGAGGCCGCAAAGTTGGCACTGGATGCTCACTTGACGGCAACATCTGGTTCTGCCTCTTGCAGAAGTCCTGCCGATATAGTACAGTGGTCCCTCGTTTTTTGTAGTTCTCGGGAATCATAGATTTCGGAAATCATAGGGATATTTTCGTATAAACATGGGCTCGCTAATCATAGGTTGACTCGCGAATAGTAGTTCGTCCGGGACGCGTACGCACGGTGTGAGCCGGGGCGGCCTCCCTACCCAGCCAGTCTGGCATTGTTTACCAGTGAGCGAAGGTCCCCTCACGTGCTCCAACGAAATATTTCATAATATTCCACTCATTTTAGTGCTTGCAAGTACTAAATAAGCTACCACGGCTCCAAAGAAAGCTCCTAGTGCCAAGCCTGTGGTAAAGAAGGTGAGAAATACGATTGAATTTTAGAAAAACATCATTGAACAATATAAAAGTGGCACAAGTGCGGCCGAATTGGCCAGGATGTATAAGAAACCCTACACAACCATATGTTCCATAGTGGCCAAGAAAAAGGAAATAAGGACGCTGTTGTTGCAAAGGGGGTAACTATGCTGACAAAAATAAGATCATCAGTACTTGAAGATGTTGAGAAGTTATTATTGGTGTGGATAAACGAGAAACAATTAGCAGGAGATACTCTTATGACTTCGATTATTTGTGAAAAGGCTAGGCAGTTGCACAACGATCTGGTAAAGAAATTGCCTGCAAATAGTGGTGATGTGAGTGAATTTAACCCTTTCAGGGTCCGCCCCGTAGATCTACAGCTTTATGTTCAGGGTCCAAACCGTAGATCTACGTCATGAGCTCAGCTCACTCTGATGAACTGTGAATGGTAAATTTGGGCCTAGATATGAGAGAATACATCTATGTGGTATGTGTGCACCACATAAAACAAATCCTGCAGCACACTGTGTATAATGAGAGAAAAAAACTGAGACCGTGATTTTCGATTAAAACAGCGACTTTGCAGTGTTTTTTCGTATGTTTTTTATAGTTGTATTTGTGATTTCTTGGTCTCAGAGATAATTTTGATCGGTTTGAGCACTGGAAATGGCTTGAAACTGAGCTCAAAGTGGCGGAAATGTTAAATTTTTGCCTATGTTCAAGAGTAAACAAACGACCTCACACGTTTAATACACGCCAGCTGATGGGTCTAATATACGTTCACAAATGTGGTGATGATATTTATACAATTATTACAATATTGCATAACAGTAAATCTTCTATTTTTTGGTGTGAATAAAAATTCATTATGTGAATAAAAAATCAAAATGTAATTTATTTGTAAAGCCTCAAAACATAACTAATGAATAGAGGAAATGTTAGTTTAGTGCCAGGAATACCTACATTGTTTATTCTGGACCCTATTTTGAAATTGGAATATTTTTGAACTTTGTGTTAAATTGGCCAAATTACCAATTTCCGGTCATTTTATTCTGTAGTTGAAACAGTTGACTTGGCGATTTCTTGTGCTCAATCGATAGAATAGAAGTAATACTAGTGAAATAGCTAAGAATTTGGTCGACTGGAATAATGTAATTGGCGTAAAATGGGAGTCAAAGTCGGAAAAATCGCCGATTCGTAAATATCGCTGACACATCAAAATTCACGAGAGCATAATTTCGTCAATTTTCCATCAGATTTCGTACTTTTTGTTTTATTACATTCACAAAAAGATTCTCTACCATTTCATAAGAAAAAATAACAATTTTTTTTTTTTTAAATTCTTGGACACTCGGGTACCACTTCAGATTTTGGCCTTGGACCCTGAAAGGGTTAAGGCCAGCAAAGGTTGGTTTGAGAGATTTAAGAACCGTACTGGCATACACAGTGGGGTAAGGCATGGTGAGGCTGCCAGTTCGGACCCCAAGGCGGCTGAAAAATATGTGCATGAATTCAAGGAGTACATAGAGGCTGAAGGACTGAAACCTTAACAAGTGTTCAGTTGTGACGAAACAGGCCTCTTTTGGAAGAAAATGCCAAAGAGGACCTTCATTACACAGGAGGAAAAGGCAATGCCAGGACACAAGCCTATGAAAGACAGGCTGACCTCGTGTTCTGTGCTAATGTTAGTGGGGATTTCAAAGTGAAGCCATTACTAGTGTACCATTCTGAAAATCCCAGAGTGTTCAGGAAAAACAATGTTATGAAGAGTAAATTGTGTGTGTTTTGGAAATCTAATAGTAAGGCATGGGTCATGAGGGAAATTTTCGTTGAGTGGTTCAATGAAGTGTTTGGCCCTAGTGTGAAGGAGTATCTCCTGGAAAAGAAATTGGATCTCAAGTGCCTGCTAGTAATGGACAATGCACCTGCTCATCCTCCAAACTTGGATGACCTAATTTTCGAGGAGTTTGGGTTCATCACAGTAAAGTTCTTGCCCCCGAATACCACTCCTCTCGTCCAGCCAATGGACCAGCAGGTCATTGCAAACTTTAATAAAAACTACACCAAAGCAATGTTTCACAGGTGCTTGACTGTGACCACAGACACTCGCTTGACCCTAAGGGAATTTTGGAGAGAACACTTCAGCATCCTCCATTGCATAACCCTTATAGGTATGGCTTGGGAGGGAGTGACTACCAGGACTTTGAACTCTGCTTGGAGAAAATTGTGGCCAGATTGTGTCGACAAGAGGGATTTTGAAGGGTTTGGGGCTGATCCTGATGAGCCTATGTCTGTTAAATCAATTGTGGCACTGGGGAGTTCCATGGGGTTGGATGTGAGTTTGGAGGATGTGGAAGAGTTGGTGGAAGACCACAACGAAGAGCTCACCACTGAGGAGCTGCAAGAGCTTCAGCAGGAACAGCAACAGATCGCAGCTCAGAATCTTGCTGCAGAGGAGGAGGAAGAGAGATGGAAGAAAGTGCTTTCTCCAGAAATTAAAACCCTTAAATGGTCCAAACGTATATATACGCTTTTTCAACATTTGAAAGTATGTAAAAAATGTAGATCTTCTTTCTTGTTTTACATTTAAAAATGTGTAAAAAAAACTTTTATCTACTTTTTTCTTTTGTTATTTTTTATTATCACACTGGCCGATTCCCACCAAGGCAGGGTGGCCCGAAAAAGAAAAACTTTCACCATCATTCACTCCATCACTGTCTTGCCAGAAGGGTGCTTTACACTACAGTTTTTAAACTGCAACATTAACACCCCTCCTTCAGAGTGCAGGCACTGTACTTCCCATCTCCAGGACTCAAGTCCAGCCTGCCGGTTTCCCTGAACCCCTTCATAAATGTTACTTTGCTCACACTCCAACAGCACGTCAAGTATTAAAAACCATTTGTCTCCATTCACTCCTATCAAACATGCTCACGCATGCCTGCTGGAAGTCCAAGCCCCTCGCACACAAAACCTCCTTTACCCCCTCTCTCCAACCTTTCCTAGGCCGACCCCTACCCCGCCTTCCTTCCACTACAGACTGATACACTCTTGAAGTCATTCTGTTTCGCTCCATTCTCTCTACATGTCCGAACCACCTCAACAACCCTTCCTC